CACCATCACCACCACTAACATTTACTGAGCTCAATTTCTAGACACAGTTTTTAAGATTTCCTATATTTACTATATTTTTATTCCCACAACAGACATATGAATTATGCACTTTTATTGTCCCATATTTTGGGGCATGTGGTGGTTCCATAAAATAAGTACTAGACTGTGAGCCATGAGGTTGGCAGTTTGAGCCCACCAGCTGTTCTGTGGGACACAGATGGGGCTTCTGCTCCCATAAAGATTTACAGCCTCTGAAACAACCAGTCAAATAAATAAGAATGAGAAGCACTATATTAAGAGTGTTCGTTCACATGGACATATTATATAACATATAGCAATTAAAATCAATAGATTAGACCGAGATTCATCAGTACAAATCATTACAACTCAAAAAAGAAAAATAATACATTTTTAAATGGCATCAATAGTAAGAGAATATTTAAATTAACTTAAAAATTATATAGATATGAATTCCTATGTTGAAACAGTTTAAGCACAGGAAATGAAAAACAAAAAAAGTCGGTTTTTCCACCATCAAATTATAGATAATCACTGTACAATTTGGGGAGAAATTATTGAATTGTAACCTAAACTGCTTCATAAATATTCAGCAAAATCACAATTAAATATTGTTTTTAAAAATATGTTGCTGCATCTCCATTGGATAATTTTTAAATTACATAATGCATACATATTTAAAATCCTGATTTATTTTTTCATATTCTCAATATTTTTTCCTCCCACAGGGAAACTATGAGACAGAGCTTGGTATGAACTAGTCCCTTGTGTTTTCAATACATTTATTATGAGTCATCCAAAAACAACATATTTGCTTTGTCATTGATAATTTTATATACTGCCATTGTTTCTTTAAAATAATACATTTAATGATTTATCAATCTTGGTATATTTTGCTTTGGTTAATTCATTTTAGCTACCTTAAAATATTCCACTGTTTTGTTATATCACAACTTACTTATCCTTTTTCTCTAACTGTTGGCCATTACACAGGGAATTTATAATGCACCGGAGACCAAGTAAATGAAAGATTATGGTTACCGCTTAGAAGGTGAATAAAGGAACTGAAGGGGGATATAAATAATATGTCTTCTTTATGCATATAATTTTGTTACTTAACAATATATAATGCTAGAGGCAAAATATCAACATTTATTAATTCTAGAAGTTATCATGTGCATTTGTCCAACTATTCTATGCTATGTTGCCTTTAAAATATTCAATAGAAAGCTAGTAGGTAGGGGATATTTCAAGTATGCCTGGCTGTCCACATTCTTCCCTAGTCCTCAGAGACCAGAAACAGGGTCATGACCAAAGCTCTTCGCCACTAAAGTATGCCAAGAACCAGGTACTGAAACATAAGGAAAACATGACCACACGCCCCTAAATCCTGCCAAAGAAATGGAAAAGAACTTTAGAGAATTCTAAAATACTCAATAATTGGGCAAGGATAGGTTTCTTTTGAAGACAGGAAAGATCTCTGTAACATTAGGATCAGATTGAGTGATTAGCAGCATGAGAGTTACACAAGTATCGATGCAAAAGTACAAGTAAACCTATCAAGTAGACAAACAATTAAGCAGCAACCTATAGAAGACTCCATTCTGCTTCTCTCCATCACTACCCAAAATCCTGAAGAATCAAATTCTGACTCATAGCAACCGTGTAGGATAGAGTACAGCTGTGGTTCCAAGTGTTTCCAAGGCTGTAAATCTTCATGAAAGCTGACTGCCATCATCACCACCAAATAAGCTAGTGGGTTCAAGCCACCAACCCTTAAATTAACAGCCAAAAATGTAACCACTATGAATTGGGTCTCCTTACTCACCTTACTGCTGCCCCCAAATAGACTGAGAGACAAATAGCTCTCCCCATTTGTAAAAGATAAACCAAGAGACTTCAGATTACCTTGGTGCCAACACTGATAAATAACTTTCAGTGTTTTCCTGAGGTTGAAATGAATGGAAGCACTATGTTGAGGGCATACAGAAAACATAAAGAAGGCCTGTCAGGCTCCCGTGGAAAAGAATGGTCCTTGGGATGAGGCTCAAATGTGTTGTCTACTAACCTAGGCAAAACTTTAGAGTGGGTGGTCACAAGCAGACTATTTATACTGTACATGCCCCTTGAGGGCTCAAAACCCAAAGTTCTAAGTTCATTAAACTCTTTTTCAAATCCTTATGGAATAAGTCTCAGAGAAGGAAATGTTTCATGTTGACTGATCTCCTCATTCAAAAAGGCCAGCCTATGTATTGATATGTATAACTCCTTTCTTCTACCTCCTTCTGCTCACATTCATTTCAAGTACCTGGTATGGCACTGTAGGATAAGTACTGGACTGCTAACCACAAGGTCTATGGTGCAAATGCACCAGATGCTCCTCAGTAACTCTATATATGGTCTCTATAAGTTAAAAATGACTTTACAGCACTTATCAACAGCAATAACACACTCATGGACACAATTCACATCTATAACGAATGCTAGTCTTCCTCCAGTGCCTTGGAAGTTACTGCTATCTTAATGAAAATATCAGCAAGACTAACAACACAGACTAAAAAATAATACTGTGTTTACATGCATATATGAATTACAAATTTTAAAAAAAGTGATGAAATAGCAAATATATGCTAAAAAAAAACACCCACTAATGACTATTTCTATATGTTACTAGTATATAAGGTTTCTACATAGTGTATTGGTGTGGAGCTATGGGCTAATGCAGTATACTGAAAAGTCAGTTTAATCACAAGGTCAGCATTTCAAGCTTACCCAGTGCTCCTTGGAAACCCTATACACAGTCACTGTGGATTGGAAACAACTTGGTGGAAATTAAAAACCTTAAACAATAACAACACAGTGTATTTAGCACTTCCTAATATATTTTCTTTAATCAGTATGGATTGAACATACAACAGAAATTTTAATCTGTTTTCAAAATTATACACAAACATTTCTCTACTTTGAATTAATAGCTTCAAAATCCATTTATTTAATACTGTGAGTTGAGATTATGACTTCTTGTCATCACTATTGTTGAGGTAGACTACAAAAGATCACATTATCAGTCAACCTGTGATACAGTGCATTCTGGCATTTGTTTATATCTAACTGTTCCTTAAAAAATAGCACGCTTAATTTTAGCTGACTGATATACAACAATAATTAAAGATTTATTGCAATCTTAGAGTTGGAACATATACAACGGCTCTCTTGATCTGAAAAGAGAGTCCCAAGCCCTACAATAGATCAACACATAAATGGACAGCTTATTTATGAAGTAGTGGTATTACAAACAATGCATCCATTATTAAACAAAAATAAAGTGTTCACTAGGAGTATTAGTGTGGTGATGTAGCATAAGCACTGGTTGACTAACCACAGATTGACAGTTTAAATATACCAACCACTGCCCGAAAGTCCTATACAGCAA